TGGCTATTTACACACCATTCTCATACATCTGTACTATTTCAGTGAAACTGCTGACATTTATTTACAACAGCTATTGTGATAAAAGGGGGGTAGGGCACATAAAAAGAGGACCCAAGACAAAACCCTGGGGGACTCATCTCAATACTAGTCTGCTTTTCTTCAGACTCTCCTCTTTTTTCTGTTTCCAAGTTATTCAGTTTGTAGACATTATACCAGTGTTGCAAACTAAATTATTCATATAAAGGCCATAACAAAACCATATCAGAATAAAGGGCTGTCATGCCCCAAATAGCCAAAATTTAAGTTGCTCTTCATAGAATATCTTTCCAAAATATCTTCCCCCATTTAATTTATACGATTGTATTTTCAAAATTGCCATGTCCAAATAAATTGCACCACATCAATTACACCAATGCCACTGATTTCAACCAGGGTTATTATAAAACTAAAACATTTGCAAAAATGATTGATTTAACAATTTTTGTAAAATGTTTACTAATGATTACTACAACTGTATCATAAGTGATTGACAATTTTTGGAGGTCCTTAAGATATCTGTGGTGTTTCAGAAATGGTCAGTGTCAACATAAGATTCAAAAATTAAAAGTTTAAAAAGTAAAAGCTCCTTAATGAACAGTACTTATGCCAGAAGTTTTAAGCATATGGAAGTTGTCAATAAAAATAAGTGCGCAGTTAAGTTTATCTGGTGGGCTTATTTTTAGGGAAATAATATTAATAATTATTAATAGAATTCTTAATAGTCTGTGTAAATGAAGAAGCCTTTGATATCTAAACAAGAAATCCCATCAAACCCAAGCAGAATTAAGCTTGTTCACCTGCAAAAACAGTAGGCGCCTGGTTAAAAATCAAAATCAGCTGACATATCTAAAAATATCTAAACCAACGAGAGCAAAAAAGGCACCTGGTTGTGATTCAGCAGGAGGAACTACATACATTGTGTTATTTTGCTCTGTGGTGAACTGGAGATGTGAACCCAAACAGGCTGACAAAGCTAGCGAGCTAAAATGGCTAGTGGTGTGATTAGCAAAACTGTGTGACTAAATGACTACACAAACAAAGTTAAAGGAGACATATTATGCCCCTTTTTACAATATGTAATATAAGTCTCTGGTGTCCCCAGAATGTGTCTGTGAAGTTTCAGCTCAAAATACCCCACATGTCATTTATTACCGTATTGGCCCAAATATAAGACGACCCTGATTATAAGACGACCCCCCTTTTTCCAGATATACCTTTTGGAAAAAGGGTTTTTAAAAACCAAATCTTGTTTTTTCTCAGTAAAACACATTTTGTCTTCAATTTTTTTCATATTGCATATTTTTCCTATTTCAATTTTTGTTTTGAAAGTATGGTAAAAACTGTTAAAATGTACCAACAATCACATTTAAAAAATATACCCTTTTTGATATACCATTAAAAAAATAAAACAGGTAGCCCATCTGAATTAGGACATTTAGGCTATCCATCTAATAGTAGCCTACCAAAATCTTATTAACAGTAGAAGTTAAATCTTACTGTGGTCTTCAAATCTGGGTACTGTCTTACGTTTTAAAATCACAAAGTCCCATCAGGCTAACGTGACAGTCACGACTCATGCAGCTGTAAGGTTTCCTTATTCTTTTGTTTTTACTCGCGATCTTTACAACACGCATTACATTACGTATTTCATGACACACTCGTTTTATGCGTAATTGGCGCCACCTATTGTTGTGGGTGTATTATTGACATGTCAAAGTCTAGACCCTGAATATAAGATGACCACGTTTTTTCAGATGTATTTCCAAGACTAAAACATCATCTTATATTCGGGTCAATACGTTATATCATTTTGAAAATGCCTATTTTGCGTGGAAGCAGAAACACCCTGTTTTTCGGGCCCGTCTCTTTAAATGCAAATGAGCTGCTGCTCCCCGCCCCCTTTTTCAGAATAGAGCTGTGGCCATTACAGCTCGGACCTGCTAAAAACATCTGTTTTGGTTCTGATTATCATGTTTATCGCGCTGAAATCATGCGTTTTAAACCATATGAGTTTAAACTTCTGATATACAGTTTCTGAGAGCACACATCCGAAGCACACGGACAGAAAGCGCTATCACAGCATGTGAGTACTAAACTAAGTTCTCAATCACACACAAGTTTACGTTAAAAACACACGAGTTACAAAAACAGTCGGTTATGTCTGTGAAGGTAAACTGCTGGGAAACATTTTTATTTTAGATCTGTGGCAGCCGCAATATACAGTAAATAAATCAATAAATCCACTGCTCTGTTGTCTCCTCTGAGGCTGGGACTCTAAATAGTGGTCTGTGCTTGTCTGTGCAGCCAAAGACAGAACAGTTAGCGTGTTTTGCTCAAACTATCGCCATGGCATTAGAACTGGTACACCTTTGTCGCCTGTGAAATCAAAATGACGGCGCCGTGGGTGGAAACTTACAGATTAAGGGGCGGTAATATTATAATGAGATCCCTTTGTGACATCACTAGGGGAGCAAAATCTGACGCGCTCGTTTTCTCAGATGCTTGCAGAAAAAGGCTTACCAAAACAAAGTTACTGGGTTAATCTTTTTCACGTTTCCTTGGTTGGTAGATGCACCGGGGACCTGATTCTAGCACTTAAAACCTGGAAAAGTCAGATTTTCATGATTTGTCACCTTTAAGGAAAAACAAGACTGTGAGAAAACTAAAACGCTTTCTTTTTTAAAATAAATGGCTAGACTACATGTTGAAATGTTTTTTTGAGCCCCCGGACATGAGCGCAGGAGCGACTGTATTTCTGTATTATTTTGTGTGTTTCTCACAGCACTATTACCCAGTAAAGATGAGCGGCCACGGTGAACCATATCAATGCATGCGGTGAAACCACCTCAGTGGCCCTTGATAGTCATCAATATCTTGTTTTCCACACCAGAGGAACCACAAGTGGCTGCACAATAAACAATAGCGGTAGCAGTGAACCAGTGACCGCAGGCTCTTTCAATATCAGCCAAGCTATTGTGTAGCACTGGCAGATCCTGGCTCAGCTTAACACATGTCAGGCAGGCACGTGGCTCCAGTCTCCTCCGGTCACTGAGAGCCCAGACAAACCTGAGTGAATGAAAGTCTGCTTTGACACACAGACACCCCTCAGTTTCAGTGAGGACATAAAGTATATATAATAACAGAATAATAATTACTAAATCTAAAATGCCGTTATGCCGTTGTGAAAAAGATAAGCAATAAACTAATGAATATATTTAGCTGAAAGACAAAATATTGCACAAACAAAACCAACAAAACAAAACACTGTAAAATGAATACATACAAGGACTTGGGAGTCCACAAATGAGCTGATATCATATCAAGCAGAACTGATTTAATCTCAATCACCAGGTTATTTTGTTTAACTTGTTAATATTATAAAATGCTATAAAAAAGTATTCATTAAATATGTATTTACCTTTTTGAAAGGGGAATGTTAAAAAATAATTTTGAACCAATAAAAATTTATTCAAATCGATGTCTCTGTGTTCTATTAGTGTTATTATATGTTTGTTTAAAGGGGACATATGATGTTGCTAAAAAGAACATTATTTGGTGTAATGAAATGTGTTTATGCAGTTTAAGGTTAAAAAAACTCCATTATTTTCCACATACTGTACTTTATTGTTTCTCCGCCTTTCTGAAACGTGTCGATTTTTACAAAGCTCATCGTTCTGAAAAAGCGAGGTGTGCTGTGATTGGCCAGCTATCTAGTGCGTTGTGATTGGCCGAATACCTCAAGTGTGTGACGGAAATGTTACGCCCCTCACCATATTGTGATGATGCCCTGTCCGGCCGGAGCGATGACTCAAAAACATGAAAACCCATTATAAATGAGGCATTTGTTGCATCCAGTGGGGACATAATTACGGATTATAATGACTTATACTGTCTTTTTACGCGTTGTGTTGCATCGTGCCGCGTAAACATAAAACCATGTCAGTATTATGTAGAATTATGATGTTTTGACAGATGGAGATCAAAGAAACATGATCTTTAAAAAGTTCGGATGTATTGTTAGTGTAGATATGCTTTATGAGCCTGTGGTGACATTTCTGCCAAAATTATATTATATCGTTGCTTCTTGACACTTTCAGTGTGAGATGTCCAGAGAGTGGTGCTTAAGTGAAGTACAGTTTTATCTGAAATGAACAAGATGAACATGAATCTGGAAACGTTTTATTACATCTGTTGTTGTCAAGTGACTGGCACTAAAAGTTTAATGCTCTATCACTTTTGGAAATGACATACCACCTACACTAGACCCTACCCTTAACCTAACTAACAGTGTTAACAAAAGCAAACTTGCGATAAAAACACATTAGCTAAACTTTAGATTATTGAAAGGTTCTGACAGCCAAACCAAAATTCTTCTTTGGCATCACTGCGGAAAGCCCCTTTTGAATGCTTTATATCTAAGAGTGTATATCACTTGAGCTCTTGTGTGTATAAGCACGTCCCAACACTCCTCAAACAGCTGTTTTCAGAGAGATGTGTGCTGTCATTTCGAGTCAGAAGACTGAGAGTGACATTCAGCAGGAGCTCTGCAGTCACAACTCACAGTGGCCACAAAAGCAAAAACATGCAATCATACACTTCTATTAATACCTTTCAATTACATGCCTTTAACCCCCTTTTCATGTCATTTTTTTATAATTATTGTCAGTAATTCCAGGTACCAAGGGTCAATAGAGTGATGTATTTTTGTAGGCCATTCTTCCATTGGCTTTTGGATTACTACAGAAAATAAGCTCTGTGAACAACAAAAGGTTCTGTGAACAAAAAACAAAAAACATTGACTTCAGGACGATGAAACCAGAAGTGCTAGAACACAAACTTGTTTCTGGGATTTGGCCTACAAAAACATGTCATCCCTGCAGCACTTCAGCACATATGATGGATAATGTTTTTATCATAGTGCAGTGCATTATGGGTACTGTAGGTCTATTTGTGTAACTCACATTGATGTCCAAGCTGCACAGACTGAGTGAATCCACATCTCTCTTCCTCTGCTTTCTCTTCTGCTGTAAAGACACAGATTATGATCAGTTGAGTGCTATAATTTATCACTAACGGTACTGTAGTAGTGATCTGAATGATTTCATTATTTTGAAATTGTTATATAGATGAATATCACACAACAACACAAGATAAAGCTCATAGGTTCACCATGTTGAAATGTCAGAATTAAAAAAATAAGTAATTTAAAAAATAAATAAGAAAATGTGAGTAGTGTCTATACACTGAAACAAAAAACAAATGTACAAATTTGTTAAGGAAGATTGCATTTTTTTCTTCTTAAATTATATTTATTCTTTGTTTCAAACCTTAAATTGATTTAATATTAAATCAATAATATTTATATTTACATTCATACAACATAAAAAGTTAATGTAGGGCAATTTTTTTTTCAATTAGCTAATAAATCCGCTAATTAGTTATTAAATGAATCACGTAAGGTAAAACTAAAACCATTTTGTTAGTCAAAGATTACTTTAGTTTACTTGCTTTAAATAGACAATATAAAGTTATTATAAAAAGACAACATTGAAAGACATTAATGATTATGGTGATGGTGATTGTTTTTTTTAAAACATGCATTATAATGCATATCGTTAGGAATGAACACGTTTTGCAAAAAGAGTGTCTTTCAAAGCAAATCAATCCTTCTGTTGAATGTATTCAGTAAGCTTGAACTCACTGTACGTTAATGACACATTTAAGACCAGCTGTTGTTGTACATGGTTAATTAGATCTAATTTTTATCTAAATTGATTCTATCAGCTTTTTGACTGGTCAAACCGATGGGTAGCTTTGTTATTGTTGCTCCATAACTGTTTATTCTCCATGACAGCCAGCAGCATGTGGAGGGAATATCTACATCCTGAAGTGTGAACAATAGAGCAGGTGAAAGTGCTGCTCACGACCCATGAACAACACCCGCTGTATCTCCATCATGTACAGCTGAACAACTAGTGCTAATTAGATTGAGGTCTCTTAGTTTAAAAAGCATGAAGAAGACAGTATAATAATTTCAGGTGTCTGTATAGTATGTTCGGAATGAAATACTGCGGTACTGCTTCTGTGTAGTAAAATCACTATACTGCCTAGATTTTTTTTTTTAAATAGTGTAAAAAATAAAAAGTCGCATTTTTACAATTCTGTCATTATTTACTCAGTCTCAAGCGGTTTCATAACCGTCTGAATTTCTTTTATCTGTGAACTCCACAAAAGCAAATATTTTAAACAATAAAAGTAACATTTCTGAATAATTGTTTTAAAATAATGTACTGGTCACTCTTTTCCATGTAATTACAATGATGAAAAAGCACCACAAAAGTAGACACATAACATCATAACACACAGAAGAAGCCCACATGACTTAAGTCTTTTGAATCCATATTTGATTAATATTGAATCCATAAATAAAGCATTTATGCACTGAAAGTCTTAACATCTTTTATTATGAGACCCCAGCAATCACGTGTCTCCTTTTATAGAATATTGAGAACAATGTCCCAGACTGTGCTTACATTTGCCAAGCTACCAAGTCTGCAATCAGAAGTCAGAGATATCGATATGAAGTTCAAAGTCTCCCAGACCAAATGACCAAATTACCATCCATTCATTACTTATGAAAGAGCAGCCAGTGAGGGATAACATGTTCGCTCACCTTCTGATGCATGAAAAGACAGCACCCCATCATTGGGCTTGACAGCAGTATTCCTCAGACCCGCAACACCTTTACAATCTCCCACCGTGGACCACTGTCACCTGTCTAATCCTCAGCCATGTGTGTCTACAGATGTGTGTGTGTGTGTGTGAGTACACAGGAGAGCAGCAAACAAGATGTTCAGGGGGAAGTGTGTCGGCGCTATATCGGGCCCAAGCAGGGCGTGAGCTCTCAGACCACATCTCTGCTGGAGTTTGTCTGGCGTCAAACACCCCTTCAGTGAGAGGAACAGCATCCTGTTACAGGGAAGAGTAGCACACAATCGCTCTTCCACCCTCCTCAGCCACTTTATCCAGAGCTACTCAAACCCCCGTGACGGACTGTGATGAAGGTCTCGCAATTAAAGCCAGCAGAGTTCACGTTTCATCTTGGTTACTCTCTTAATGTAACGGGGCTGACGAGACGTGAGACGTGCGGATCCATGAGCGAGCTTTATTAAAACAGAAGAGGTCAGAAACACAGGCAGGGTCGAACAATGGCAAACAGGTATAATGAGGGCAAGACAGAACAATTAAAGCCAGCAGAGTTCACGTTTCATCTTGGTTACTCTCTTAATGTAACGGGGCTGACGAGACGTGAGACGTGCGGATCCATGTGCGAGAAAGGGTGACCTCTGCTGGCTAACAGACGGAAGTTCATGGACTGGATACGTAACACTTAAAGCACTCAAACTGGGCTTCAACACTAGAAAGTTTACATTTATTTTGCTCTCTCTTTGAAACAATTATTGTCTGAATAATAAAGTTTTGTTGCAGGGTTAATCCTAAATATTGATATATACACTACTGGTAAAAAGTTTGAAATCATTAAGATTTTCTATCTGCATCTGTCTCTTCTGCTCACTGAGGCTGCTGATCAAAAATACAGTAAAAACAGTGAAATATTATTATAGGGATGCACCGATATGAAAATTTTGGCCGATATTGATAACCGATTATTCTTTATTTTTGAAAGCCGATAACCGATATGTTGGCCGATAAATCTATATCCAAATTGTTATATATCCAATGCTGAAAAGAGTTATTGCTGCTTAATATTTTTGTGGAATACAATTCAAAAGTATGGTAAGCAAGACTTTATTTTTTATTTTATTTTTTAAATGTGTAGTGTATGTTGTTAAAATTTTATATTTAATACTTAGTGGAGCTGTACCTGCACTGCCACAGTATAAGAGGTTTGTGTACACTTACAGAACAGGAAGCCAGAAAATCCCTTCTAAACACACTTCCTGGAAGCCAGTCTTCCTTTAAGCATTTCCTGTTCAAGGAGTGCGCCGTGTATCTGATGCTGATTTTAAGGCATGTTGGAATGATCATGTTTATGTGATGAACATACATGAATTACCAGTGGGATTTTCTTGGTTTCTTTCCAAACAAAAATAATTGTTGCTGGCTATTTTATGTTTTAATTGTGAATACTGACAGTACAAGTAACATTTATTTATATAGCAGCTTGTACAATACCGATTGTTTCAGAGCAGCTTTGCAGCATTAAAACAGGAAAACAACAGTGTTAACGTTGCACAATTAATAAATTATGAAGTTTGAGTCACTGGGATGCCTCAAGGTTCAGTGTTAGGTCCCCTCCTCTTCTCTACACAACCTCACTGGGCACAATCATAAAGGTAGACAACCTCTCCTGTCACTGGTACACAGATGGCATCTCTTTATACAGCAGCAGTCTATCTGTCAACCCATTATTCGAACACAACATCACTGTACAGCTGAATTCAAATGCCACATCTACTCATCTAATGGTCTCTATGATCAGCTTAGACTCACAATGCTTTTTGGGAAACCCTTCTTGTCTCGATATGACACACAGCTTCAAGCAGGATTGCTGAACTAGTTTACCAGCCCATTGAACAGTGTTGGGGAAAGTTACTTTTAAAAGTAATGCATTAAAATATTTGAGAACACAGAATAACAACCGAATGAAACAGAGTGTTTACTGTACCAGCGTTACTACATGAGGACATTACCGACTGCACCATTAGAATCCATCTACAGTGGACAGTAATGTGACCGCCAGCTGTTCAGAGAACGAAGCTAACAATATCACCCTAAAATACCATGACTGGAAACGTCATGAAAGAGAGAGAGAGAAGAAGAAAAAAAAATCTAATGCAGAGGTTGCCAGAAGCCAAAGGAGAAAAGGTTAATGAGACTCTTTCACATGCAGGCTGAATTAATGTTTGTTCCTGCAGAGCATTAACAATTGCTTTGCAGGCTAAAAATGAGTCTGCAGGCCAGATTGTATTGCATTTCCATCAGTAAGTATTGTTTTCATTAAAGACTCACCAATATACAAAGTCAAATAAAGAGATAATGCTAACATTGCATAAACTGATGATTTGGCCATTTCTCTGTTATAAATTATCTTGAGTGCTGTGTCATTAGGCATGTATGCAGGAAACACTAAAAAGCACACAAAAATGCCTCATCAAGACATAAGATCAAATATAAGTGTTCAGAGCATATCGAAAGAGAGAGAGAGAGAAGAAGAAAAAAAAATCTAATGCAGAGGTTGCCAGAAGCCAAAGGAGAAAAGGTTAATGAGACTCTTTCGCATGCAGGCTGAATTAATGTTTGTTCCTGCAGAGCATTAACAATTGCTTTGCAGGCTAAAAATGAGTCTGCAGGCCAGATTGTATTGCATTTCCATCAGTAAGTATTGTTTTCATTAAAGACTCACCAATATACAAAGTCAAATAAAGAGATAATGCTAACATTGCATAAACTGATGATTTGGCCATTTCTCTGTTATAAATTATCTTGAGTGCTGTGTCATTAGGCATGTATGCAGGAAACACTAAAAAGCACACAAAAATGCCTCATCAAGACATAAGATCAAATATAAGTGTTCAGAGCATATCTGAATGACTTTACACTAAATTTCACTTCCGTTCCCCCTTTTTGAGAATCTGTTTAAAAGTCATCAACAATGCAGTTCATAAATACATCTCTGCACTGTTTTTAATGGAATTCTGCCATTGTGGCATCAGCTGGCACAAGACAAGAGCTTGACTGCTATTGCTCAGACGCTTTAATAAAAGGAGGCTCAATGTAGACTTAATTATGTTTCATTAAACTATTAACTGTGTCTCAGATGTTTATCTTTCTAGGATAAATATAAAACAGACAAATATACATACTGTAAGTACAGAGTTATTAAAGCAGTATGGACAGTATAGCGCGGGACAGCAAGGAACCTGGAGCTAGTGACTGATGACATCGGTTGGTCTTGAAAGAATTTGATGACAAATGTTTTTATTACTGAGATTTCTGACTCTTGATTGCAGACTTTAGTATATTGCCGTATGAGCACAGTTTAAAGTGGTCATAGGATGCTACATGCACTTTTACAAGTTGTTTGAACTGAAATGTGTGTTGGCAGTTTGTGTACACAACCACCCTAAAATGATAAAAATCCACCCAGTGTTTTTTTTTTTAATCTACTAAAATCTTTACCCCTTTCTCAAATCGAGCCGATCTCAGATGCCTGTCTGTGTGACGTCACAAAAACAGGCCCCTCCCACGATAGTTTGATTGACAGTAGCGTTTCAGCACAGACTGGACTGGTGTCTTACCTCAGACACTCCTCCATTGTTCAAGTAGATATAACTGCAGACCGGAGATCTCCAAAATGGGGCGTGAACTCCAAAAGTGGGCAGAACCTCCAAAATGGGGCAGGGTCTCCTCGCGCAAAGACTTTCACCATTGGCTCTGGCTCCAGCCAATTGTTATTGACTTACATTTCAAAATAAAATTTGATAAATTAAACATTGTTTCTAGTTCATCTAAAATAAAATATGCTATATAAGTAAATATTCTCCGTGAGAGCAGAGCCCAAAGCTCGAGGCCAGTGGTGTTCGGACTGGAGTTTGAACATCTGCTTAATGATATAAACGGGAATCACCCACGAGCTCTCCCGCGAGCCGTCCCAGTGCAGCGCAGGGGAAAGATTTTACTCTATCGCTTTGTTCTAAGCAACGGGGGCATCACAGGGGCGTCCCGGGGCTCGAAATTCACAGGGTTGGAGGGGGTAGTGAAGCTGAGTATAACTAAAAAGTTGCCATTGTCTGGTGAGGTCCGGTTGGGGAGTTACGGAACAGTCTCATATCGCATAACCTTATTAACTGTTTATCTCCTGAACTGCAACTTTCTTTACCACACAGCGCTAATCCCGCTGTGCAGTCAATTTCACTGGTTAAGGTTAAGGTTAGGGTCAGGTGTGGGGTAGGTTTAAGGGTTAGCATTTTTTGTAGCATAGTGTCGGAAATCAACACTTTAATTGACACAACCAATAAAATCTTTAGAATCAGCTGTGGGGTGGAGTTTGCACTGAAGTGGATTGGGGGAAAAAATGGCTCATGTGTGTCATGTGCCTGTCTGTCAATGGGAGGAAGCCACGCCCTATTTTGGAGATCCCACCCGGTTTTGGAGTTCCCGCCCCATTTGGAGATCTCCAGGCTGCAGTTATACCCTTCTCCCATTGTTTCACCGCCGGAGCAGATGTACACAAGAATGATTCCTAAGCGATGTTCTGTTGTTGGATGTAATAATGAACATAGCAGTCGTCGTTTACTCCCGACATCTGAGCCGCTGAAGACGCTGTGGACGTTTGTTTTTGAAGGGAATGCACCCCCCCCCATAAGTGAGTATAAGGTTTTTTAAATTAATCTTTGCAAATCGCCTTTCCTAATAATGTGCTAATTAGCGAGTTTCACAATGAATGCGGCTAAAGTAAACAGTCTCTCAGAGAGCGGCTCAGAAGAGAGGGGCGGGGTCCACAGTGCTCATTAACATTTAAAGGAAAATGCTACAAAACTGCTTGCTCTGAGAAGAGCTGTTTTTGACAGGGTAAAAAAGGTGTTTTTAACCAAACTATGTTACAGACTTTTCATTAAGACCCTAAAGAATCATATCAACTCGTGGAAAATGGGCATCCGATGACCCCTTTAAGACATTAATGCTGAGATTTCTTATTATAATTCTAAAGGAGACAGATGAAAATGAAAAATCTCAGCATCACTGCTTTCTCTGTAATCATCAGCCATATTGCTATCTCATTAAGTCATAAACCAAAATGTCTTCATCACAGTGGAATCACATGCACTAGCTGACCTTGTGCTTTTATACAGAAATGTCCAAGAGATATGGCTCGGCTCTTGGACTATCTCATATTTCTGAATGACTGTTTATGTGGCAGCTCAAGGGAAGTAAAGTCTGAATAATCGTCCCCTGAACATATAGCGAACATGACAAGAATTTCTATTATTTTTTGCACATGTATGGGTAGTCTGACACAGTCAAACACTGAAAAATATATTGAGGTAAAGCTTTCTAAAAGTAATTTTGAAAAGCCAGTATGAATTTCCATGGCTGCTGGTTGCTGTATGATATTTTGTGCAGGTCTAGCTGTTCATGTGTTGATCTGGTCACGATTAAGCTTTTTTACCCAGCTCGTTTTGCTGGTTATGAAGGCAGGTTAAAGCTTTCATCTGGAAATGAGGAAAGTTAGTTATGTTGGTGATTTGTTTCTGCATGGAATACATTTGTTTCACTAGGTTATCACTGGTAAATTTGGTTTGGAAAGTAACGTACGTGAAGTGACTTAAGTAATTCCAGATCTACACAAAGAAAACCCCATGGAGAAAGAGAGAATGAAAGGACAGATATTCTCCCACCTTACAGACTCACATTACAAAGCTGAAAATTAACTCTATTTTTTTATTAGCTGACAATATTTGCTCCCTGAAATTGATTTAAGCAGACATTATTTGTCTTCTAACCATATGAAAACACACATCATTTAGGCTAAACGCATAGTTCACCTAAAAATTCTGTCATTATTTACTATCCCTCATGTCATTTAAAACCTGTGCATATTTCTTTCTTTAGTGGAATGGAAAAACATTAGACCCCACTGACTTTCATTGTATGGACAAAAACACTGAGACACATTATAAACTAAAAATACACTAATAAACTGTTTCCCAACCCGACAGGTCACATTTTAAATGTGATTTTGGATCAGGATTGGGAGACAGTTTTCAAAACTCAGAGAAAGAACACTTCTTGTTGTGTACGCACTCTTCCTGTGAATGAACCACAAGAACAACATAACATCTGAACTCACCCCACTGAAGAGCCACTTCTCTGATGTAGAGAGGACAGAAAGTGACTCCTTCCTCTGCAACATCGGCCTGGTGGGAGAAAACAAGACAGAAACAGGATCAGATAGATGGAGTGATAATCAGAGGCCAACACAGACTCGCTGTCACAGAGAGACAATATGATGCAGTCTAAAGTTGAGGTCAGATTGTCTGATGAATTTTCATGGTATGAAATCCAGCCATTTCAATAGAGCTCTGTAGGGACAAGGTATTTTTGGAAGCGAGTTGGCATTTTAGTACTTCACTGTTCATCTTGAAGTTAATGGACTTTCTGAATGGGTGTTTGGTTAATTTGCCTGAAATAAGGTCTGTGGTTAACACAAGCTAAATGATGCTTGCTGAAAAGTGTCTAAATAGGAAGTCATGTTGGTCACAGTAATTCATTACACTGATCAACAGCAAACTGCTTGGTTTGAAAGTAACTTCTGAGTGATTCATATATTGCTGCACAATCAGCAATGGACCTTTTTTTGTGTACTTTTGTGGAAATTTCGCCAATGTGACCGCACCTTAAGGCAGGCAAAATACATGACAGATGAGCTGCTGCATGATGGAAAATCACTTTGGTTTTTCAGTAAGACACATTAGACAACCGATAGCATCCAGAAACTGAAAGATGACATGGTTTTTCACCTGCATGGAGACTTTTCCATTCACTGCAGTTTTGTAAACAGATCGACAGTCTCTATGCGGCAGACGGGACAGGCTGAATGACCTTCTTCTGACCCAGAACCTCAGGTAATGACAGACACTGTGCTTTTTGTGCCGCTGGCTATTGTGACAAGGTAGCTCATTTTAGCTCATGCTTCTCCAAATATTTGAACTTGCATCCTCTGTGTTGTCACACATGTGAGGTTGAAAACTGATAGAATGCCTAATTTTATTAAGAAAATATGAATATGTTTTATTCAAGCTACTGGTGTGACAGCACGATAACTTCATTCAGACTCTCAAGCTGAGCTGAATCTCACACACAGAATGATCCTCATGTTAGTGGATTCCAGTACAGTTCACAGCCGAAGGAGACTTACGTTTATGGCGAAGCTACAGCTGCCATTAAAGTTTACAGCAAATCCAATTAATGCACGGTAAAACATATCATCCATACTAAATTAAATATAGATTCCCATGCAACAAGAATGAACAAGATTTGTGTGGTGAATTATTGATTGCTGAGAACATGAAACGGTCAAAACTCAAGAGACATTTACTATTATGTAATAATCAACCATAACAAATGCATGCACTGTCTGTTATAGTCAAAGTTTCACTAATTAATCTTTGGTTTATGTTATTTTTTATTGTAAAAATGAGTTTTTCAAAGTTAAAAATAAAGATTGCTGAAGTATGTTTTACAAGAAAATGTCTTTCTCAAGTCCTTCTACTTGAAAATTTCACATTTAATAAAATGTGTTACCTGGCATTTCTTTGTAATTATTTTGTGTAATTTATTAGCAATTTCTGAAAATTAAAAAAAATTGTAAACCCTACACCAAATCCAGTGTACTGACTCTATATGGAAAATACACCATTCAGAGGTTCCATGATTGATTTATCCACCAAGTTAAACCGATAGTTCGCCCAAAAATGAAAACTCAGTCATCATTTACTCACCCTTATCTCATTCCAAATCCATAAGACTTTAGTTCATGTTCAGAACAAAAATTAAGATATTTTTAATATTCTGTTTTTTAATACTCTAATTTTTGTCAATTCACTTAAAGTCAAAGCAAGCAACATTGTAAAAGAAATCCACATCTATTAAGCAGTCTTCTTGGACTGTATATGATGAACAGATTTAATTTAGGCTTTTCACAGTACAGATAAACATTTTCTGATGTTCATACATGAAGGACATCAAAATCGTAAACAGAAGCTCAAACGTGTGGAAGCTAAAGTGATCATGAACAGATCACCGTATCAGCCTCTCGTGGCTTATTTAGAAGCGCAACTTTAAGTCATATTGTTATATATCAGAAGACAAACTCTGAGGTGAAAATATATGGATCAAAATTCATCTTCTGAAGGTTTGCAGGTTGTATTTGAACTGTACTATCAGGACTTAATGTACAGCATCTTTAACTTAATTGACATTAGACTGCACCTACTGCACACACACACTCACACTCACACTCACAGACACAGACACGCGCACGCACACACACGCACACACACACACACATTCTCTCGCTCTCTCACACACACACTCACACTCACACACTCACTCACACAATCACACACACACTCACACACTCACACACATACTCTCACACACACACACAGCAGATCTGGTCTGATCAATACTGATCTGCTATATATACTGTGCTGTAATTAAATCCGCGCACACTGACCCCCTTATGGAAACTGGCCAGGGTTAAAGACACTGATGTGGTTTGTAGAAGCAGATAGGACGAAACACTGAATACATGTACAGTGGGGCAAATAAGTATTTGATACACTGCTGATTTTTCAAGTTTTCCCACTTACAAAGAATGGAGAGATCTGTAATTTTCATCGTATGTACACCTCAACTGTGAGAGACAGAATCAAAAAAAAAAAATCGAAAATCACATTGTATGATTTTTAAATAATTAATTTCCATTTTATTGCATGAAATAAGTATTTGATCACCTACCAACCAGCAAGAATTCTAGCTCTCACAGACCTGTTAGTTTGTCTTTAAGCAGGATTGGGGCACAGGCTTGTCATGTGTTTTTCTTCAAAATTTTTTATATTTTCTTTTCCATGAAAAGTCTTACTGGCATCATGTGCTTATGAGTATAGACTGTGTAATGTGCATAATGTGCATGACTTTGTGTGTCTGAAAATATATGTTTGTACTTGGAATCACACCCACACACACTCTCACTCACTCACTCACTCACTCACTCACTCACAACTTTCTGTATTTTTACAATTAAAAAAAAACTTTGTTTATTTTATTTTTATACCTGTTTTACAAATGAGGACATCCCCAAAGGGAGGTTTTGGAGATTTTGTCAGGTTTAGCTCACTTTTGGGTACAAATTTATGAAATATGGTTAAGTAGGTACACACACACACACACACACACACAAACAAACACACACATACTCTCTCACACACACACACACACACACACTCACACACACAGTATATGTCATTATACAAATGTATGTCCTCATTTGTCACAAAAACGGGCACACAAACAAACACTCACTCTCACACACACACACTCACACTCACACACAGGTTTACATTTATGAAAAGTGGGGACATCCCATAGGCGTAATGGTTTTTATACTGTACAGACCGTATATTCTATTGCCCTACACCAACCCTACCCCTAAACCTACCCCTTACAGGAAACTTTGTGCTATTTCAGATTTTCAAAACACTCCATTCTGTGTGATTTATAAGCGTTTTGAAAAGTGGGGACATGGGGTAATGTCCTGAAAAGTCACCTTCTCCTTGTAATACATATGTCATACCTTTGTCATTATACAAATTAATGTCCTCATTTGTCTCAAAAACGCATACACATACTCTCACACACACAAACAAACAAACACATACTCTTACACACACACACACACACACACTCACACACAACTGCACTGAACATGATGGCAACGCAGGACTAGCCATGACATCATGAGTGTAGAGCCTCACCCTTTAAAGCCATCAGACATCCTGCCCTTACAAATATGACATCGGTAACACTTTACAATAAGGTTCCATTAGTTAATGATGTAGTAACTAACATGAATGAACAATACATTTATTACAGTATTTATTCATCTTTAATGTTAGTTCATGAAAATACAATTGTTGTAACTAATGTTAACACGCACAACATTTGATTTTAATAATGCATTAGTAAATGTTGAAATGAACATGAATTAAGATTAATAAATGCTGCAGAAATATTGTTCATGCTTAGTTCATGTTAACTAAAGTGGTTAAGTAATGAACCTTTTTGTAAAGTGCTACCATGGCATCTATTAAAATCAAGGTACAAACATCCTAAATTCTTCCTTCAAACCACTTTTGACACTTAAAACAGTATCTAATAAAAAATAATCTTCGTCGTGCACTCTTTCTGCTCTACACAGCAACAAGTGTTACAGGTGCACAGTTTCACTGTATTTTCTACTATTTAAAATACAAAGTTTAATAAATATGTATGTACAATCACCCAAAAAGTGCTTTACTGAAACTAGAATACTAGAAACAAAACTAGAGCAGTTGTCGTGAAAGTTTAAGACAGCTGAAAGAAAACATCTGACTATTTCATAGCAAAGCAGATCAACTGAACTTATTTAGTTAATCATTTATTTAGATTCACAACTAAAGAAAACATGTAAGCTTAGTCATTAAAATTTTTTTTTTTTTATATAATATAAATAAAATATTCTAAATATATTTTTTTACATGAACTGAAAAGCTTAATATTAATTATAAAAATAATAAATAATTAGCATCAAAAGCCAGGCAATTTTGTTCTTAATTCGGAGCAAGAGAAACAGGGGGAGTGGCTTTATTACATCAGATACATGTCACTTCATTTGCTCACAGCTGATTGGTTCTCACCCAGAATAAAAGCTGTATTTCAAAATATCTGCAAACTTTTTCCAGTGAAATGTTTTGCTTGAAAAGTGATTTCAGTTTTATAAGGCAACAATAGTTTACTTGAATCTAAAAAGGCATATGTGGTATAAAGAAACCCCCTATTTTACCACAAAGAGACTGAGAGTCCCTTCCTCTGCTGACGTCACAGATACAACAAGCAATGTGGGCAAAAACCCACCTGTCAGTTTAAACCAGGCGTGTTAATCACAGCTGAGCCGCAGTCGGCATCATGGCTTCAGTTTGGACAACAGGTGCAGAAAGCCAAAGCAGACCAGAAAGACTCCAGCTTATTCATGACAAAGGGATTACAATTATATGTTACAAATAAAAACACTCATAGTCATGTGCACAGTGTTTTTTTGACAACATAAAATAAATACTGACAGTTATATTTAATTATAATTACATTTTCTAAATTT